GTGTTCTTGTCCTTGGCGGACTTGTCCGTGGCGGTCTTGTCCGTGGCGGTCTTGTCCGTGGCGGTCTTGTCCTTGGCTGGGGCGGTCTTGTCCTTGACGGTCTTGTCCTTTGTGGACTTATCCGTGGCCGGGGTGGACTTGTCCTTGGCGGACTTGTCCTTGGCCTGGGCGGACTTGTCCGTGGCCTGGGCGGACTTGTCCTTGGCTGACTTGTCTGTGGCGGACTTGTCCTTAGCGGACTTGTCTGTGGCTGGGGCGGACTTGTCCTTGGCGGACTTGTCCGTGGCCGGGGCGGACTTGTCCTTGGAGGACTTGTCTGTAGCCGCGGCAGACTTGCCCTTGGCGGACTTGTCCATGGCCGGGGCAGACTTGTCCTTGGCAGACTTATCCGTGGCCGACTTGTCCTTGGCGGACTTGTCCGTGGCCGGGGCCGACTTATCCTTGGCAGACTTGTCCGTGGCCGGTGCCGACTTGTCCTTGGGCGGGGCGGACTTGTCCTTGGTGGACTTGTCCTTGGTGGACTTGTCCGTGGCTGGGGCAGACTTGTCCTTGGCGGACTTGTCCGTGGCCGGGGCGGACTTGTCCTTGGCGGACTTTGGTGAGGTTGGTGTGGACTTGGTTGAGGTAGGGGCAGGGTAATCAGAGGCCGGAGGAGATTTCGTCGAGGGTGTAGCAGACTTGGAAGTAGATTTGCTTGACGTTGAAGCAGAGGATGCCTTGGCAGGTACAGAAGTTGAGGGATTTAATTTGGTTGGGGCAGAGGCACCCGCTGATTTGGCTTTGGCAGATTCCTTGGCCTGGACTGGAGCAGAAACTGGTGAGGGTTTGCCCAGTGCAGGGGCAACTGCAAGTGGAGGCTGAGTCGAGGTTGTTTCAATCTTGGCCGATTTCTTCTTCTTTTTGTCTTTAGGTGAAGGAACAGGTGAGGACTCAGCAGGAATTTGGCTTGGTTTGACAGCTTTGGACTGTGGCTGTGCTGGTACGGAGGTTGCATTTCGCTTTGCCTCAGAGATAGATTGAGAGGCAGGAGCAGTAGCCACAATTGGTGCAGCAAGAGGTTTATGGACTTGATCAGCGTCATGTGTCTCATCTGGTTTTTTTTCAGCTTCTGGGATGACCCCATTGGGCTTTTCATCCTTCTTTTTTCCACGGTTCTTCTTGTCAGATGTTTTGTCCTTTTTCTTTTTATCTGTGCGACCTGATTGTATCTTACCTGATTCACTCCGCTGTTTTGCAAGTGCCTCTTCATAAGAGGTCTCCTTCATAGAGAAGGAAGAAACAAGAGCAATCCCAACTGCAGAGATCACCATGAATCCACCAAAAACCATTATACCAAGGGTCTGCGGGTCATAGATATCCATTGTTCAATGTTAATTCACCTAAAAAGAGAGATAGATATTTCAACGTGGATTTGTGTAATAAAATTTTAATACAGGGGGCTTCTGGTTTGGTACAAGCATAAGAGATTTCAAGGGTATGCATACGAATTTATCATTAAGTGGCACAAGGAAGCGCACTCAGGTACCGTTGTACTTACTGTGTTGTCCATTTTATTGTTTTACATTTATGACCAAGAATTGCTTTGGTTATGAATTCAGGCTACATTGCCATCTTTGGAGAAAAAAAAAAAGTTGTATACCGGGGATCGTCCTGTCAAGTTGCTCCCCGAAAAACTTCAGTCACCGTGTGGATGAGTAAGTGTAGTGAATGAAGACTGAGGCTGTTGGGACAGTTAACTCTAGGCCTGAGTCAGAACTGCTAACATCAGCTGCTAGAGCTTGCCAAAGTTGACCACGACCGCCGATTTCCTCTTGGTACTCCTCCAGGCAGGTCAAACATGCATGTGTAGTTCAATAAAGATTCTGAATTGTCCATAGGTGTTAATGTGAGCATCAGTGGTCGTCTTTCCCGACATGGTTGTCTGTAGACCAGTCGAGGCTATATAGTGCCTAAGGCAACAAAGCCAGCTTGCATACGCTCCACCTCACCCACAATCCTATTGAGTACAAATAGAAGAGAAAATGGATGGATGGATGTTTCGCGTTATTATTACTACATGCGCAAGGGGTGTTGAAATGTTACTTACAATTAACTTTACAATTAATAATGGTATGACAACAGTGACAGTTTAACCCTGGAGCAAATTCTTTTTATTTCCACTACTTCCTGAGTAAAAACTGTATTGTGCTTGACTTTTGGTTCCACTGTAATTATTTTTTTGTCTTGTATCCTTTAAAATTTGGTAAAATGGGCTGTTTGAAACAAGGAAGCAAAAACTCAAACAACAAAATCAACATATTTTCTGAAAAAAAAAAGGCAGAATGATTGGGGTGTTTAAAAAGTTGCCTGCGCTTTCTGACAGAATAATTTTCCCATGTATCCCTTCATACCTGCAATGGCCTCAAGATGTCCCTGTTCTGCATTTTCTCGAACTCTAGCCTTGAGGCAACAAAAATCAGCAAGCAGATAAAATCCAACTCAACAAATAAGTGTTCAAACAAAATTGGATTTCGGCCTTTTCTTAATAATTAATATTTATGTCACACTGGATATGAAATGTGTTAAACTTGAAATACTCGTACTTCATATTGTAATAGTTCCAAGTTTGTGACATTAAACCAGTGCTTCTCAATTATTTTCTGTTACACCGCGCCTCACAACTCTGAATAGTATAATTTTCTTTAGAATTGTTATAAGTACACACCTGCAAAACGATGTACCATTATTAACATTAAAGGAAACAAAAAAGAAAATACAGACCAACTTAAAACAAGCAATAACTGCACCAACAAGATTTTTAGTCTGTCACAGAAAAAAAAGTGTATCAATTTCCTGAAACTAAAAATAAATAAATACATGAGAGTGCCACTGCCACCTTCTGCAGTGGATATGCTATTACGTATTATTCTAGTATGGCTAGCATGTTCTGTGGGATCACACAAGCCCCCACTGGCATCGCATCATGCCCCCCCCCACCTCCCAAAGGGGGCCGCCCCACTAGTTCAGAAGAACTGCATTAAACTGAAAATTATGTCTTAAATTCTATTACAAATATGGACTTACATTTTTGTAACACATGGATCCGTTTTGTATTTGTAAGATTTCAATAAAATCAAGACTATACTATGGGCTCACGGAGTCCAAAGGCTCTTTTCGTGTCAGGGTTTAAAAACTGGCAAAGAAGGAAGAGTTTATACAAGCTCTCAGAATGTCACGTCACACATCAGGACATCTGTGCTCACACTCTTCTGATGACAGTACCTTTAAGAGTCGCCTTTTGCTGCAGATTTACACTAATTTGAAGCGAGACCCCAATGTCAAAATCCCACAGAAATGCATTATATAGATTAAGTACATTCACTCTTGGATTTAACGATTACACAACAGAAAGATTAGACATAACGCGCATTCTGATAGTTAATTTGCTGTATGAAGCGAAAAATAGGCTCAATGCAAAAGAGTTAACTTTACAACTCACAGGTAACAGCGTCTACGCGTGTCGAGTAAAGTCAATACGTGTACATAGCACAGCAGCCGACAATTTCACACAGGCTCGTGGATGTGCGCGCGCACATGCACGCGCGCACGCACGCACATACACACAGTTGTTGACGTATTGCTACCAAATGATACTTTTATTGTATTTTTAAAAGCATCTCACCCATTTACAACTTTCACCAAACTTCAGCATATTCATTTGATGTAGGCGAATTCATAAACGACTGTACTGCCTCGGCTAATACTGTACTACAATACTAGGAGACATTAAAAACAAACTCCAGCTGTCAAACGGGCATACAAGCAAATGTGATGTGCAATTGGGAAAATATTCAGGCGTTGTATACATTTAATCGTTAATTTTCACTGTAGCATCTTAGCTAACAGTGGGAATCAATGAACTTGGCTTGCGACGTGAACTTTTTAGAATGACGTGTCAAGAGAACTGCAGCCAAAACGTTATTTTAACATGGGCAAACGAAACGCAAATTAGGCGCAATAACTTCAATAAAGTTTATGTACACAAGTAGGCAGATTTTGTCTTAGCAGGAGGTAGCTTGCCAAGCTAGTTCTCTCGCTGGCTTTATGAATCTGAAAAATCCTATTCCCACACTACTTACCTCGCTATTGATGAGAATGTGTCTGCTTGGCTGAAAGAAAAATTGAGGGATTGCCGTGAGTTTTCAATCGGGGACCTAACAATTGCAGTGTGCAGTTCCTCTGTATTTGCAGCGGTCTAGCTAAATTGCTTTTTGCCTGATATCTTCCTCCTAACTCCGCCGGGCAATCGCTGGACTACTGTGAAGTCGTGGCACTTCTAGCTGGCTAGACGTGCTGGCCCCATGCCCCAGATAGCTTGCGTTAATCCAGGAAAACTGTGATTGGCTAGAATGCCTTCATACAGGAAATGGGAAAGCTGGGAGTTGTAGTTTTTAGATGACTTGCCATATGAATAAACTCACAGTTCAGTGGAGTTTTTTTCTCTTTCAAACAAAGGGCAGTTGTTTAAAATATTATTTTTAGTATTTGCACAAATTAAATGTTTGGGTAATCTAAATATTTGTACCCATACTTTTTTTTAATTAAAGTATCGTGTCCTGTAATTTAAAGCAATACATTTTATCATTTACACTGGGAAAGCTACTTCTATGACTAGTAACTTTTTTTAGAAATAATTACGCAGAAGATCTCCGCTCAAACACAGAATACAATGTCGTCTTTGTGTAAATCTGTCATTAAAGAGGCATAATCCAGAGAATTAATGATACATCAGCACATGTCATTTAAACCCTTTGGAGATCTGATTTGGTAGCTTCAAATGTACCCGTAGGAGATCCCTGCTTTGCTACTGTCGACAAATATAAATAATCAATTATGTCATTATAAGTGCAAAATCAATTGTTTTTGCTCCCACTTTCATGAAGTGTACACAAAACTCAAACACTGTTTATACATACACTAAAGCATTTCTCTTAATATTGTTCACTAATCTTGTGTTGAAGAGCATTTCGTTGATGAGATAATGCATCCACCCCAGCAGGAGCATTGCACAGGTGTGCCTTAGGCTGCCCACAAAAAAAAAGGCCACACAAAATTGTGCTATTTTGCCACACAGCACAATGCCACATATGTCGCAGGTTTTTAGTCAACATGCACTTGCATGCTGACTGCAGCAATGTCAGGACTGTTGCCTGGAAATTGAAGGTTTATTTCACTGCTAAAGGCATTTCATGGAATTTGCCTATACATCTAACCAGCCACACAACCGTAGACCACTTGTAATTACACCATCCCAGCAACTTCACCTCGAAGGCTGTGTGCTGTGATCAAACCACCTGGACAGCTGCTGCAACATTTGACAAAAGATGGTGTGGGCACACAGGTGTATTTTATTGATGACATTTTAAATGCACAGAGATACTGTGATGAGATTCATCCACAACCGTTATGTTGCAGCACAGTAATGCACACCTCTGTCTTGCGAGGTTCTGTACACAATTCCTTGAAATCAAAAACATCCACTTTCTTCCATGGCAGCATATTGACCGGAAATGTCACCTCATGAGCATATTAGGGATTGGCGTATTGGACAGCATGTTTCAGTTCCTGCAAGTATTCAGCATCTTCACACAGCCATTGAATAGCAGTGGAGCACCATTCCACAGATTCACCAAATCAACAACCTGGTCATCTCTTGGCAAAGGGAATGTGTTGCAGTGGTGAGGCAAATGGTGGTCACACCGGATACTGACCGGTTTTCTGACCTTTCTAGATGCCCCAGTAGATTAGAACTGCACATTTTAGAGAGGCCTTTTTGTGTGGATATCCTGAGGCACTCTTGTGCAACAATGCTGTCAATATCAGCATTGTGATAGGCCGCGCCTGTGAGATTACCTCAGCGAAGGAGAAATGCTCACTGACATGGATTAAGACAAATTTCTCAACAATGTTTGAGAGAAATTGGGGTTTTCTGTACTTTGAAAAAGTCTTCGATTTGTGAGCGCCGTACATGCCAAATAGTAGCATAAACAAAAGTGTTGACATTGTATTTTGTTCAGTGTAAATTCACAACCTGCGTCCTTCAAATACTTGAGTTTTGAATTTTGTTTTAAGATTGCGCTAGTCATGTTTCGTTTCTCATGCAGGTTGGCCTTTAATCAATCTGCTATTGAATGTCATAATGTAGAAATATAAATATTACGCAATGAGAGTAAACGTTTGCCTTGTTAACATGACAATCATTCAAAAAGTGGTTTTGTCATGTGTTGGAGGGCAAATGACAGGCTGGGCAGGGCACACTGACCTTGGGAAAGGTCAAGTATTGATTTTTGACACAAATGTATTATTTCAGGCACACATACTGGTATTTGGCACGTCAGGGACAATTATTGCACGTTGTTCAGCTCATGGGTTTGGAAAATATCTGCTTCCATACTCAAATTTCAACTGAAGTCCACCTAAAAGAGCCGTCTTGTTTGGAAAATAAGGCAATTCTGTTGTCAGCTATTTCGTATCCAATTTCCATATGACCTTACTGCATTCGAAGCTCTTGGAAGCATTTATCTGGAGGGCTGTTGGATAAGAAGCAGGTGTTTTTAGGAATACTAAGACAGTATGTTTCAACCTCTACCAACAAATTTTTATACCAAAAACATTTTTGCAGTTGATTTCACACCCATTTTGCTGTCAATGTCTCCACAACTTATCTCGATACTTTCAAGTCTGTGGTTTGATTAAAATATATTTAAAGGTTGTTGAAACGCAAGACAAGACAGGAATTTTAAAGCGACATATGCATCCCCCACAGCTATTGTAATACCGCATCTGTGACCCACTCGTTTTAGAGGCTTGCTGAACACTGCCTTCCTGGAGTGGTTTGACCAATGAGCCTCCCACTACTGTGGGGTGTGTCAGCATGCGAGTGCAGCTGCATGTGAGTGCCAACTGCACAGCACTCAAATTTTTATTTACTCGTGGGGGGAGCAGTTAGTTGGATTGCACTTGTTAATTAGTGTGCAGATCTGCTAACCTTTTTATCTTTGACATAATTGCGTTTCCGTGAAGTCCGGCCATTATGTGAAAGTGACTCGCTGTCCAGTCTAGCTGTCAATCAAAGGCAGAAGAGATGCTTGCTCACAGACATTTTCAGAAATAGGCTGTATATTCAAGGATTACTTTTGTCATGTGATTTCACACTTGGTTGAGCAGCCACTATAGAAGCCCCAAAATATTTTTTACAGGCAATTAAAAACTTAATTTTCTATACGTCCTCTTTGAACTTGCAAATATATCAACATGATTACCCGGTAACAGGAGAAAACACAAGACAGGCCCTGGTCTTTGGACCATACTCCGAAGCCATCTATTTGTTTGTTCTAATGGTAGTTGCCAAACTTATCTGTTTGCAATGTTGAGTTGTCAAAATTCCATTGGCACAACATCTGCTGTTTCAGCCAATCAGAAACTCTAGAAACCTCCAGGTCACGATGACTGCAGCAGTTGGATTCAATAGATTTATATTTCACTCATTTGAAAAGATAATTTAAGGGTTCAGTTAATGGTTCATCTTACAACAAAGTATTTCAGATGGCAGGTGCATCACCAAATGCAAAGCGATAAACTACTGTAGTTGAATAAATGCAAATCTTAACTAAGTTACGACTGGTAATGCAATGCAGTTAATTTCAATGTTATTTGATTTGTTTACAGAATTTGACATCGGACCAATCTTGGGAAAGTAGGATTTATTCAGTATTGTTACAAATGTATAAAATGCTAATATTGAGTCAGAAAAATAAAAAGGAAATCACACTGCTGGAATCAGAAATACATTCTTTTAGAAAACTATAATGCATTAATCACACCACTGTGCTTGGCGATGATTGCAAAACTTTTGTCATCTTCGTGCGTCATTTTCTTAATTGTTTTGATACCTATCAATTAGATTGGAAAGGACAGTCAGTTGGCGGTATGAAGCATGTGATGGAATAATACCTGTAGTAGAGGTAGTATGAGTGGCTTGTGCAAACAAAACTATAATGTAAACCGTGAGTCCACAATTCAAGTTTGCTCACATACGTAATTTGTCTTTGCACGGATAAATTCATGCTAATGTTCTCAAACTGTATGGGCATCTTTGATAACTGCAGTACGATGCAAATGTAATTAAGGGAAAAAAAAGGATGCTTTTTGGCTTTCGGTGCTGAGAATCATGTGGGTCTGGTATGATGTTCTAAACCAGACATTTACGCAAAAAAAAAAAAAAAAAAAAAGGCAAGAGAGTATCAGTGGGAATAGGCAATATTTCTTTTTGTATTGTAAAGTAGAATCTCATATATAGAGTCTGCAATGGTTGTCAAACTCAACTCGCTAGGGAGGTAATTTAAGAAGTCTAACGCTGAAAAGTACAAAAAAAAAAAAAAATTGTGGTTTCTATTGTGTGCATAGTTACGAAAATGAAATGTTACAAGAAAGACAAAACAAAAAGATAGACCTTAACAACAGACTCAATAATTATGGGTTAGACTTCCATATATCTTGGGGAGTATGCGCTGTGGACCGAGGAAAGATAAGAATGCTGTGCTAACAAAGGTGTTGGTTAAGAGGCACCAGATAGGTGAGTGGAAGCAAAGATGTGGCTTGAATTCTTGTCTGTGCGAGACGTAAGGGACATCAGGATTTGATTGGCTGTGACTGGTCAATTGACAGCAGGAGGTCAAGAATACTTGTAATGGTGTCAGTTGTTCTTGAGCAGCTCAATGCAACCCTGCAATAGTGCCACGTTGTTCTGTGGAAGATGCGAAAAATGGCTGTTAGTCCTTTATGTAGGATGTAAAAACACTCTTGACACTGGGTGAAATAGCCAATAGACACAAAATTATTCAACGAGAAAAGATGCTGCATCCTCTAGAAACGTATTCTTGTCTTGAAATCAAATTGAACCACACCAATGTCTCTCCTATAAAAAGTGACATAAGTGACATAAAAAGGAGAACGTAGACGGGGGACAGCGGTCATTGAACCTGGTGACAAAAGAAATACTAATACGTCTACCTTTCACTTGCCTTTGCTAGTAGGTTACAAGCTGCTCATTTGGGGTGCGAGTGAGCTGGAGCCTGATTTTGGGCAAGAGGTGCGGTGCACCCTGGACTGTTTGCCAGCCATTTGCAGGACACATTTACACACATTATCGTTCACATTCACATATGCAACTTTGGGCAATTAAAAATCTTCCCATGCATGTTGGGCTGCAAATACCGGTAACCATTATTTTAATAATCACTTCATATGTCAAGAATTTAGTTGGAGTTAGAATGAAGTGGATTAAAACAAACACTTGAATTTTCCTGTCTTTATCCAAAAAAATTATATCAAATTGGTAGAACAATCACAAAACAAATTATTATTGAGTTCCTGGTTTGGTCCAAAACATGTCAGAAAACTGGTCCCCCCCCCCCCCCCCCCACAACATAATAGCCATTCAAAAATCTGCCATTCATTTCATGTAATTTTAAGGAAAAATACGATACTGGGATATATAAATACCAAGATACCTCCCAAATGTAATCCGTATCTCACAGCACTACTTTGAATTGCTTCATACGATGCTTTATTTTGCATTTATTAACATCAACAGGCAATTCCACTGTAGTCTTCTCATTTTATAATGCTACGTTATGGGGTTGAAGGACATTACTGTACTTGTTAGTTTTCCTTGAATTCATAGTACAACTTCAGGTCTTAAACAGTGGAAAGTCACGCCAAAGAGACACAACTACTTACAAACATTTGAAGGCAATAAAACTGACAAAAGTTCCAAAGGAAGATGAACTCTCACCATCTCATATTACTCACCTTGGCATGTTTAATCTCCAATTCGGCCATCTCTACAAGATTCTTTCTAAATGCCACAACTCGCCTGCCCTTGAAACTGGTGAGCTCTGGAAGAAACACAATGTGCCCTTTGAGATATATCATACAGCAAAATCTGTGTACATTTACCGGCTACAAGATTCAACTCACCTAAACAACCGAATCAAAGACTAAACGATTCCATGAATTATCCTGATCTTTAGAGATAATGCAGAGTTCTGTCAACCTAGAAGTACTAATTTCATATACTGTGATGCCTAATAATATTGTTGTTGCTAGCTGTTTGTCATATAGAATATTTTAGTTACCTTATTTAACTTAGAGGTTCAAGGTGTACACATGTATGTAACGAATTGTATTTTTGTGTGAATTGTTCATACAAACAGGCTTTCAGCAAATCTAACTGTTTAAATTGATTCCACGAAGACGCTCAAACAAACCTTTCTTCCCAGACTCTGAGAGCTTGTCAAATTTCTGTAGACACTGCTGCTGGTGTTCCTCAGCCTGGGGGATGTCTTTACTTTTCAGTCGAGCCTTATCCAAAGCCTTGTTGGAGTTCTCATAGTCGACTAATGCACGAGCTCGTCTGTAGAGAAGGTCCTAAAAGATGTGAAAGCCACGGATGAACGGGGGGAAGAAAATATGACACATTTCGAATCTCTAATGCATTACTTGTTCAACTTTTAGCCCCCCCAAAATCATTACATGGGCTTATCGTTTGTTCTGTTCCTGTGTAGATGACTATCATGAGTCAGAATAATCCATAGTGCTTCGATAACCTACAGTAACGCCGCATTTAAGGCATAATCAAATAGCATACTTTCTGGACAAAAGACGGACATTTTTTCCACACTTTGAACCCTGCGGCTTTTAATGTGACACGATTTATTTATTCATTTTTACTAATGAATTTCAAGTCTCCAATAGATTTACCCAGTCTCATCACATCTGACCGAACGAGTCACAGTGGCCGAATAAAAGTGACAGAGTCTGCCCTAATACTGAATATTCCTCAGCCATTCGCGGGTGGAGTGCGCATGCGTGAGGGAGGGGCGGGCTGCCTGAAAGAGAAACTTGGAAGTCTTTGTGCACATTGATAGCAAAGACAAATATTTTGTGTTGATGCTTAAGGAGCATAGGGAACGAGTGCCATAAATACAGACACCTCTGCAGTTTGACCCGTCTCTGGTGGCTATTTGGTGACTGACACCCACCCTCGCTGGCAACGGGTGACAGGTGTTATCCCCGGAAGACAGCAAATCTCCCCATACCTCTCCCAAGAAAAAAGGTTCTGGGACACGACTGTATAATTACGACCATTCTGCATAATATCAATGAAGTCATATAGTCAAAACTAACAGGACTTTTACTTGGCTGCAATTTTTTTCTAGTCTACTCACTTCAACCTGTAGTTGGTGGGACTCACTCACCTTGGCTGCCTGGATATCTCGCATGTAATATCTTAGCAACTCTGTGAGCTTGAGCTCCTGATCAGATGCTACTCTTCCCTCCACTTTCTGTGGGGGAACAATGGAAAAAAAGAATTACAAACACCTTAATTAAATTAAAATATAATTTAAAATTGAACAAACATTCCCAAATACATCCACTTCTGTTGATGGATACTCACTCTGAGCTTCTCAAAGAGATCTGAGAGCTTCTCCATGTGTCTGAAAGGAAATAAAATGAACACTATAAACATGAAACGTACATGTTTAGTTCACATCTGTACACAGGCACCAACATGAAATCCATCTATCCATTTTCAACACTGCTTATCCTGAACAGAGTCACGGGTGAGTGTTGGAGCATATCACAGCTGATTTGTGGCGGAAGGCAGACTACACCCTGAACTGGTCACCAGTCATTCGAAGGGCACATATAGTGTCAAACAACCATTCACGCTCACATCCACACCGTAACTAAGAGGGAACCGTTCCCACGCAGCCTGCACACAAGTCAGATGAGTGCACCATTACACCAGCAGCAACTCCAGCATGAAATCATTTACTGTATTTTTTGGACTCCGGAGCACGTTTCCAGTTTCTTCTTCATGATAGATTGTTGGACTGGTGCGACTAATAGTCCAGAGCGACTGATATTTAGAAAAATATGAATGCAATACTCGCTTCCTATTTGCTGTTGTATCTTCAGCAGAAAGTCCATTCAGAGTGGCTGAGATCTGAATGTAATCATCAGCGATATCTGAAACCACAGAAAGAAGCAAAAACAATAAATACCAGACCCACACCATTATTTAAAAAAAAAAGACTTAGTAGGGATGCACAGATACAGTTTTCCATTCCAAGTATGAGTACATGTACTTAGATTTGAGTACTTGACAATACAATTACTGATACTTGATACAGTATTTCCATTACGTCTTGTATCGCATGTTTCACTCAAAAATAACACTGGCCATTATTGAATTTTTTTTTAAGTCCAAATGCATGTTTTTCCAGCAGTTTTGCGATACACTTCAGTTAAATGTAGCCTGTATCACAAGACATTTTAGTACTAAAACTGGGGTAGGACAACTGAAGTGATAGATGATTGCAGCATGGCTTACTCTTAACTGTTATGAAAAAATATCGAGCTGGTACTTTTTTTATGTCTATCTCTAGAATTGTCAGTTATTCAAGTGACGGCAGGGCGATCAAATGAAACACTGATTTAACCAGCCATTCGTAGTTTCACTGTACAGGTCCACGTGTACTTTGACTTGCATGTCTTCATTTTAAGATTACATAGCTTTGTGATGGCAGGATCAACCATGTAGCCTCTGGGACAGAGGTGGCTATCTGTGGATCCCTAATAATGTGACAGTGTGAGTCATGCATGCAGCGCAGGCCCTGTTCAAGTTCACATCAAATACTTTTGTGCGTGCGGGTCATCTTCTCTGCTTTGGCAGTGGAATCTTTAATCTTGCTGTAATAGTCTAGAAGGAATGTCTTCTCCTGCTCAAAAAAGTCATCAACTTCCTGTGGGTGAAATAACAGCGAGGCAAAAAGTAGTTAGGGGATTCTGACGACAAAGCTTCCATTGATTCAGGACTATGACACAAAGGCAATACCTTGATTCCTGAAATAAGGACCTCATCAGCTGACTTCACCATGTTCTTGAAGAATCCTCCAAACATCTCCTTGGCATTTTTTCTTCTGACACTGAGCTAAAATTTAAAAATGCAAACTGTAAATGCACTGAATCTTTAGAGTGGACTGATGTACACAACAAAACAAATGACAACATCTAAACTAACATATTACAGTCATTTATGTATGTCATTCTGTGAACCCAGCAATAACAGAAAATGACTTCAAAGATACTGTAACTGCTGATCACAGCAGAATGGAAGCCAAGTGTCACAACTGCGCGGATTTAAAAAAGAAAAAACTTCCCCTCTTTCCAACGGACAAACTAAGGAAAGGAAGTCAGCAATATGCAGAACTCACATCCTGGTCATACTCTAGGAAAATCTGAAAGTTTCTGTCTTTGCTTAGAATGGGATGAGAAGAGAGTCTCTGCAGAAAAACTTCATGTACTTGGACTGTTTTCTTGAACACAGCCAGGTACTCGCTGAAAATAAAGAAACAAAAACAAAGTTGCAAAGCAAACCCATTTCACCGGCCACTGGTTGTTTAACCCAGATTTAATTCATTTGACACTCACGCTTCCAGTTCCTGCTTCATTTTAGTGTATTCTTCCTTGGTCATAGTGGCTTCACCTTCTCCCAATTTGTGCATCTTTTCTCTTGGGCTTTCAAAGTCAGGCTTTGGGGGTGCGGGAGGAATCTAGGAATAATAAACAAGAGTAGGAAGATAGTATTTTAGAGGAATCTAATTCCAGCAAAATTTGTATATAGGCAGGGAGTGGTGTATTACTATTAGGCCAGCATAGTCCTCCGTCTCCACCAGAGTGTCATGTAACCAGATGAAATCTTCATGCTGCCGGGGAACAGAGATTTCTGGCTTCTGGAAAGCAGTAAGTGTAGTCTAGGAAATAATGAAATACTGGGTCAGTGATTCATGGAAACTCGCTCACTATTACAAAAGTTTCCTCAAACTAAGTTTTACCTTTGTGTGGACCGTAAACTTGACTTTGTCTCTTTCACAGAGTGCATCGGGAATGTCGATAAGTAGAGATGCATCATGATTTAAGTCAACAGACACAGAGCGCATCTAAGGAGAAAGAACAGTGCAATGTGAAACACTTTTTTCTTCTCGTGCCGTCACAGACTATGTCTCAGTAAACATTAAGATTATTATTGTCTGCCTTATAAGAAATTGTAGAGGCACCACTATGATAATAATACATTTTAATTCGAGGTATCTTTCACCCAAGGTTTGAGGTTGGGTGATGAGTCTTTGATAGGTTAAAAAAAGTAAAAGGAAAAAAATAGAAAAATAGCCTTTGACCGTTGTACGTCACTAAATGACAATGACGCCTTCATTTGTATCCGCACAATATGCACTTAAACGTCAGTCACGTTAAGTCCATTTTGTCAACAAGTCAATAAATAGCTGGTAGCCAGAGGCTAATGTTAAATGGAACCGAATAAAAGATGGCAACAGTAACCTAGCTAAACGCTCTTGGTTGGTCGTCGAACTTATTTTAGCGCTCCTCATGATTTCGCAATAACGTTTGGAAGAATGCACGCCCTATGCTTGTTTGGTCTTACCTTTTCCTTGTCCCTGTCGTCTAAAGTAGCTGTCATAATTGGACCGAAGTCGGGTGAAGAGCAGATGAGTCGGAGGAAGTGAAGAAAGGAAGCGCTATGTCTGTGTTTAAGTGAGGAGCTAGCGGTTTGATGAGCTGTCAATTTTTTTCTTCTCCGCACTAGGGGTACTATCGACTGTGTACTTTCAAAATCGACCAGATATTCACCCCAGTTTCAACTATCTCACAGTCATTTCTGTGTGTGCAGATGCGAATTAGCCTCTTTTTTCACCCATTATCATTAACGTTTATGTGGTTTTGTGGCCGCAAAGTGGTGGAAGAGGACTTCAAAGTTGTAACGAGACACCGTCGGTTCTAGCAGCGCGTAAGGACGCATTACAACATTTCGGTGGGCTTTGTGGGTAATGTAGTTTTCACTTTGTGAATTGCGCAGTTTTGCTCAAACCCAGGACTTCAATACCCAGGTATTCCACTTGTGCAGCCTCCAGCGAAGGCCATGTTGCGTAGGATACGCGGAAGTTATAGCACCATGGAACATGCTGGGCCAAGTTGTAGTTCATCGCAAGTATTAAGCCTGTATTTAAAGCATTTTTAAAGCATGAATGCGTAGTAAGCAATAAACAAGTTGTCTTATGATAACGTTGTACGGAAAAAAATGTTCATATTAAAACGTTTGCCATTCACCGGAAGTATTTCTGTAAGGATGCTTCAGTACACCTCCCTAACTTTTGGATTTGTTGTCGCGTGTCATCGTTCTACCTCCCGTAGGGGGGCGAGTCCGTACAACTCAGTAGACAGTGAGCGCTACTCGTCCCTTGTAAAATCTGTCATCTCTTCGAGGACCAGTTCTCAAACGCCTGATACCATTCACGATGAGGATGAGCACATGTTTGGACCAGTTGTCAAAGCTCATACGCAGTCAAGACAACAGAGGAGGCTTCCAAAAGTCGTTCATCCTTTTTTACGTTGCGAGGAAACACGGGAGCCTGAGTCAGGACCTCCAGTCCGAATCGTGTTAAACAGGGACCAAGGTCGGTCGTCCATACCGAGTGTTACCAGGATTCTTCAGGCGACGCTTTCAGCAGAGCAGCTCTTCTATCTGGAGAGATGGAAGAGAAGGATGGTTGCAGAACTGGGGGAGGAAGGCTTCAAAGAATACACCCAAAGTAGGTTTTGCAGCATTTATTTAATATGCTTCATTTAATTGCATTTGATCTTCATCAGACTTGTTTAGGCAAGGGAAACTTTTCCATTCAGCCCTGGAGGAAGTTCTTATGTCAGGCGCAACAAGGCAAGACGAAAAACATGAACCACAATCATCTGATGTGATGGGATACATGAAGAGCATCGCTTACGTTCTGGAAGATGTGAGTGCAGCAAGAGCAATAGAGAGCAGTGTGCAGCACGACACTCTCGATTATTTGGGCATCGTGGATTGTGTGGCCCACTACAGGCAAGTACAATGCTCAACATAAATGACTCAAATATGTGCAAACTGTTTTGCTAGAAAACACTGACTTTCGAACTCTGCACTGTGAGGTGGACGTGCTCACCAGTTGACCACTATGCCGCTCTTCAGGAAAGTCCAAATTGTGCTTGTGTTTGCTGAGAAATTGATATAAAGCTTGCTTGGTGGTGCTCAGTTTGCTACGGGCCCAACAAAATGACATTTTAAAGTTAATAACAGGACATTATGAACTAGTTTGTGCGGCAAAGCAAGAATACGTCTTCGTACAGCACCAATCTGTGTTTTCCGTCTGATTTTTCAGAGGTGTTTTGTGTGTTATTGACTGGAAGACCTCGGAAAAACCTAAGCCGTTCCTGAGCAACACATATGACAACCCCATTCAGGTAGCGGCCTACGCTGGAGCTTTGAACAGTGATGCCAGATACAAATACCAGGTACTCTATTAAGTGATTGTGTGTAATCAGACCAATGCTCATCACCCACCCTTTGGTTTTGCAGGTGGAGAATGGGCTTATAGTCGTTGCTTACAAGGATGGCTCACCCGCCCACGCTCACCAACTGAACCATGAGCTAATGTTGGAATATTGGGAAAAGTGGCTGATTCGCTTGGAAGAGTTTCGAGAACAGAGGTGAACGCAAGTTGTCATTTCATCAACATTTTCGAGCAAATTTGTCTTTGTTTTCATTTGAGTGTTACTACTTTAGGCGTTGCAAAACGTTTTCAAGAGGTGTGAAAAGGCACAGAAATGGTTTGGAACTGATGACTGTCATGGGCTTCAGAAACATTAGTACTGTTACTCAATATTATACTCATGGTTGTTGATTTTATTTTCAGATCCAACAAAGAGTCTGCTCAACAAACACAATATTCCTAGATGCCTCCAAGCTGTGAGAAAGTTGGGCAAACTCCTCACCCTCCATTTCAAAGACACATTTAGTTAATTCCACCTGTGTTCTCTACACTAATAAACAATTATCTTTCTGTTGTTGCTTGTCCGCATTTGGGTCGTGGGTGAGCTGGAACCCATCCAAGCTGATTTTGTGCAAGAGTTGGGGCACACCCTGAACTGGTCGACAGTCAAGCGCAGGATGCAGACGCATATGGACAAACAACTCTTTATATTCACGTTCACACCTATGAGTAATTTATAGTTCTGTATTTTTCGGACTATAAGGCATCATCATTTAATTTTCTCAAAAATCACCAGTGCGCCTTATGTATGAATTGATTTCGGCTGTTACTATTTTTGTAGACTTGATTTTAATTAGTCTTTTCAATGAACGCAAATCATGATGAAATTTTGTGCCTTTGTATGCTGCCATTATCGTTCACATTCAGTGAGCTCACGAGACTGGGTAAGTATTTTATATAAAAAAATTAAACAGTTAAGGCATTTTAACTGTGTTCAAGAAGAACAATTACCGAACCTTGCCTAAATGTAATGGCAAGAATTTCTTGATATCAAGAGCTGAAGTCGTTATTTGATTTCCTTTATATTGTCTCTGGCTAAACAGTAAAAGTGTCAATTGCAACTTAAGCGGTCAGATCAATAGAATAAGGTTAATTGTTTACAGAACGTAATCCTTTTGAAATCAAATAATCAAGCAGTCGATTAAGCACACGCCACAACACAAAGCCGTTGACCTTCTTAAAATCAGGTGTTCAATGCATCCCATATCGCTCTGTAAGAGGGATCGTCAATAAAGCCCAAGCTTTTAAACAGCTTAAATGGGAGCAGGTTGCCTTCCTCTACATAGCAGAACACTGGGTAGCCCTCAGTGAGGAGTCTTTGGGCCATGGTGTGGACAAGGACTGTGGCGTAACCTTTTCGTCTGTGCTCAGGCAAAGTATACAACATGCCCATCGCCAGGTTTTCATGCAAAAGCAGCCATGAAACAGGATGACCCTGGTGATCAGTGACACAGTATGAAGGGAAGTCGCTGATCTGTCTTACAATTTTGTTGTAGGCAAATTCATCCCCTCCAAACTTCCAGGTTTGATTCACCAGATGAGCATGGGAAAGAGCGAGAGATGAGATCCTTGATTTGATATCACTGTAAAAAAAAAAAAACAAACAAAAAAAAACCCCATAGTAAATTAATTAAAAACTGACTCTGACATTATTATGCATACAGGCATGGCTCAAAGTAAAATAATTCACAGCCTTTTCTAATATTTCCTTTTATATTTCCTTTTCACAGTTTTCTACACAGATTTAAATGGAGTATTAGTCCCGCCCAGTCATACCATTAAAGGTTTCTCGAAAATATTTCCTGCGGCAGATCAAACAAATGCAACAAGTGTTCAAGTCATGACACCTCAACATTACATGTATTTGAAAAAAAGTATATATTGTTTTCCTTTTCAGTCTAGCCAAAAAAATCTTTAGGTTAACCTGAAGAGGGCTGTGCACAAGAGATGGACTTGCATTTGTGCATATTTTGGTCTTCTTTGCAAGGCAGAAATTGTCAAATTTTGTCAAATCAAGATATGTCATGCTGACAAACTTGACCCAGTACTGTTGTAAAATAACAAATGAAAAGGTGCATTCAAAGTATTAGTTTTAGGGTATGCACAGTGATACAACCATCCTTTTGTAGCGTTTTCCCCCTGGATTGGTTAGTCATATTTTCATGATTTAAGATCAAGGGCGAGAACAAATTATCTTTGAGATTTACATATTTTCTAATCTTTAAAATCATTTAATCATTAAAAACTGCTCACCTGTCGAATGCTGGTGTGACGAGATGGCTACTATCTGGCAAATAGAGAAGATGTGCACAAGCCACATGTTTGTGGCTGACTTGTCTCTGCGTGAAAACCTCTTTGAGCATGGAGGCGTGGGAACTGTCATAGGCTGCAATGAAATTGCATATAATAATTTTCATTCCATCAACATGGCATAATACGATGAGATTAATTCTAATCTACTTTACATGCACTTATATACATACAGCGCATTTGACAATAAAGTTGTACTTGACTTGATATCTACACCACCCTACAGAATAGATGTGTAACTGATAGTGTATAAAACAGCTAAGATGGAACCATTTTAAAATCTAACTTATTAACCTTTATGGAAATAAATAATAAATATTTAGCACAAGTAATTTGTTTGCTCCAAAACACAAGGGGCAATTATTTCCAAAAAGTAATTTCTTTGTTGAAAATGTGGGAAAGCCAATTTTTCACATGAGCTAAACAATATTTTGTTGAATTGCCTAACTTAAATTTATACCTAAATTTGAAGCCTTGAACTTCTGAGTTCTCCCGTTTTTTAACAGTGGACGGGCTACTCAATACTATTTTTTAAATATAAATGTGGGATGCCAGTTTCAAAGAGGTAGTGTATGTTCGCCACAAATTTTGTGAAATTACCTATTACAAAATAAGAGCTCCAGTCAACTGTATCCTCTTCTAATAACATTTCCCTCAAAATTTTCTCATCCAGGCAGTAGAACATGACCTTTTTTGTCCCGTCTGAGGCTTGTTTGTTCTATGAAATACAAAAGGTTAAGGTGGACCAAAGAAAACACCCAAAATTCTAAATTGATTTACAAACTCACTTCTGGGTCAGGGCGACAAATGATGACCTTAAAATCGGGCCACGTATCAACAATGAATTGTACGTTACTTTGTTTGTTTCTCTTACAAGCATCTAAGTATCCGTAGACCTATAAAGACAGTAAAGGAGCAGCAGTGGTTTACGCGCGCGCGCACACACACGCACGCATGCACACACGAAACATTGAGTTTCTTGAATGAATGATTAAAAGGTTTCATGAGAAAATTTAAATGTTTGCAGGTTTACCAGAAAACTCTTGGGCGAGTGTTTCAGCAGAACACTCTCAGCAACCATGTGCTCATCTTTTTGGAGGACCTTCATTGTTGGTTGCTTGATTCCAATGTGATGTGTTCAGCAAGTTTCACTGCTCTTCCCTCCTTCAACGAGATCAAACGTTAACATTTGATTCATAATTAACAATTCACCATTGCTACTTATTTCCCTTCCGTGCCATCTAGAAGTTCGGTTTAACAGCTAAAATATAATCTTTAAATTATAAACTTAATAAGAAGAAGAGAGACAGCAACAGAAACATTTGGTAATGTGTTTTTCGTCTATTGAACTGGATGAGTACGCTAGTGTAGATCCAGGTTATTACCCAACTCCTGTGGAAATCACAAACACGCACTTGTAAGCCTGCTAACGTGACAATTTAAAACAAGCTACACAAAGAGACAGAAAATAAAACTGGGTGCACATATTGATTTTTAACATCTCAAAAGGTATAAAATCAATCAATCAATCAATCAATCAATTATTCAACTTGCCCTTTATTTTTTATTTAATGAACTAAATAATGTGTTCAATGAGTTACTGCAAAAAAATAAATATTGCCCGTATACTCAGCAGATTTAAAAACACGGGTGGGTTGGGCGTCAAGAAAAAAAAAAGTGACTAAAATCATGGCGTGAACATGGACGTATTGTGCGATACACATCAGGATACTTTGGGGTTGAAAGCAGTAAACAATGCATATTTCGACATCGATTTCTCCCAGTTGTACTTTGCTTGAATAATATGCTCAACCTTTTCTGGAGCAAAAAAAAAAAGCGTAACTTTCAAGGAAACTGTCAACGTGGCAGCGGAAATCTACAGTAGTTTGTCGTAGTGGTTTTGCTGTGGCATATTGGAAACGGGAATTCGAGAACATCTAAGGGCATTACATTCACCGTTCGAAACGCTTAAAAGGAAAACAATGTCAAAGAACCGACGTTTATAAGTTAATTATGTGACGTCTCGGTCATCGACAGTTGAATCAGCACCACTCTCTCATGCAACGTTGCAAAATCTTACAAAAAAAAAACCCAGCACAGTTCTGCTCAGATTGCAGTGGCCTCAACTCACCTCTCATAAGAAGTACTTAGCTGACGAAGGAGAGAGAGAGAGGATATGATGTGCGGTAAATCAATAAAATACCGTTTTCAAAATAAAAGCTCACTGTGAAGCAAGATTTATGGTGCTGAATCCAACCCACAAGTTTTGCTTGTTTGAAAAGACAAGGTTTGAACCTGACTGAACTTTCCCTACTCGTAAAATAAATTTAGAAAGCAAATCTCAATTTAAAACTGTAAAGCCTCCGAGATATTTGACTTGTAAAAAAAAAAAAAAATCAACTCACGCGCACGCACGCGCGCGCTTACGCGCACGAACACACAAACACAAACTCAATTATATCTCTTACTAAAACAAAAACCTCTTTTCCCATGCATGTGTGAAGCTTTTTTTGTCAAAGTGAGATCTTGATTTTTTGGCATGAGTGAAGAGGGTTTTTTGGTGGTGGGGTTGAAGATTGTTTTTTTTGGGGGGGGGGATGCCCTCCTCCCCACCACCCCAAAAATGGTTGTGAGTTTTCTGGCCTGTGAGGAAGGTTTTGAGAGCTTTATAGTGTGTGCGTGCGTGCGTGCGCGTGTGCGTGTGCGTGTGTGTGTGTGTGTGGATATAAGAGGTATCTTCATGTGAGAGTTTTTATTCGTATGTGAGAGCTTTGTTGGTTAGTGAGGGTTTTGTTTGGTGAATGTATTTTCGTGTGTTATTTGTTTTGTGACGCTAGGTGTGGGGTTTGTGTAAACAAGCCAATGTAACCACGTTGGCTCTTTTACAGTGCAGTTTGACGACAAAAACAGACTGAGTTTAATCTGCATAACATTGGGGTGAAAGTGGAAATGATATAGTGGAAAGCAGAGTACTTAATACAGTATCATGTAGACCAGGGGTGTCAAACTCATTTTAGTCGTGGGCCAATTTGGAGTTGCGTCTTCCCTCGGAGGGCAGTGACGCCACAAAATGATTACTTGAACACAACAAATTAATAGATTACGAGTTTTGAAATCAGTCAATTATAATAGTTTGTTCAATTATTGTTCGAGTGAGTGTAAACTGGGGAATAATATTATTGCAAAATCTCAATGTTATTTATGACACATGACAATCTGACATTTCGGTACAGATTTTAGCAAGGTGACACATATGATTTGCTTTCACGGGCCACATAAAATGATCTGGTGGGCCGGATCTGGCCCCTGGGCCTTGAGTTTGACACCTGTGATGTAGATCTTCTAAAAGTAACAAAAACAAACCAACAGAAACAAACAAATGTCAGATTACACTAACAGTAAAGTAAATGCATATATTTTGCATTTACTATCAGTCATCTGGTGGTAAATGCTTAGAACTATATACATTTACTGTCAGTGTGATCTGGTTTATTATTTGTGCTTACAGTTTTTTTTTCTGAGTGCTTAAACTCTAACAGTGATTTTTGTTGCACAATTTCTAAAACAATTAAGATGTATTGCAAAATCACACACAAAGTTTCCCAAAATACAAACACAAACACTACTTTGGACTGAGTTTGTATTTATTTATTTTTCTCATCATGTTTCTGTGTTCTGTGGCAGATTGTGTTGTATTTTTCCAGTCCCTAAACTTGTCAGAGTCTCCGGCGCACACCTGTGATGTTCCAAACAGAGAGGTATTTAGGTACTGGAGAAATATAATTTAGCCCCCGGATTGAACAAACTACATCACAATTTGAATAGAATTCAAAATAGGAGATCGAGTGTGGCTTTTATTTGGGTTCCTGCACATATATGGATGGAAGGTAATGACAGTGCAGTCCTTCTTGCTAAGCAAGCCATCATTTTGGATCAAGTGACATTAGTTAATCCATCATGGAAGGTTGAATCCAAAGTAATGATGAAAAAGAAGTTGCTAGAAATTTGGCAAGAGTACTGAGACTTGAATAAAACGGGGTGACATTGATATGAACTACAGACAAAGGTTGATTTAACTTTTTTTCTTGGTTGCACCAGCACTTAAATTAAGTGCACCAACATTTTCAACTACATCACACTCAGCGTTGCATGAAAACATCACTGCCTGATCAATGACTGCAAATCACTTTGTCAGTTGTCATTGTCATTCACATTCAGCGAGCCACGAGAATGGATAAATATTTTATAGACAGACAGTTAAGGCATTTTAACATTGGTCAAGATCAACATTTATAAACCCTGCATAAAAGCAAATCAAATTGTCGAGCAGGTGATTATGCTCCCACCACCGCACAAAACAGTCATTCAGAAATAAATCATGTAAAAGTCGCAGGTTTGCTATGCGCTAGGAAAGTGGTTTACTTAGCTGTGATACAAGTTTTGTCTGTCAGATAAAACGGAGGCTGCTTCTCAAAATCACGTGGCAAATTTAAACCATATCCTTCTTACAGAGGGATCGTCAATAAAGCCCAGGTTTTTAAACATCTTAAATGAGACCATGTTGCCTTCCTCTACATAGGTGAACACTGGGTAGCCTTCAGCGAGGAGTCTTTGGGCCATGGTGTAGACAAGGACTGTGGCGTAACCTTTTCGTCTGTGCTCAGGCAAAGTATACAACATGCCCAATGACAGGTTTTCATGCAGAAGCAGCCATGATACAGGCTGACCCTGGTGATCGGTGATGCAGTAGGAAGGGAAGTTGCTGATCTGTCTTACAATTTTCTTGTAGCCCAATTCATCCCCTCCAAACTTCCAGGTTTGATTCACCAGATGAGCATGGGAAAGATCGAGAGATGAGATCCTTGAGTTGATATCACTGTAAAAAAAAAAATAAATAAATAAATAAGATATATGAATAAAACGTTCATGTATACTGTACGACATTCAAATTATGCATTCATGCAGGGCTTAAAGTAAAAATAATCGATGGCCTTTTGTTTTTGTATTTTAGTTTCAGTTTTCTACACAGATTTCATTCAAAAGAATATTCTGCCCAACTTTAAATATTTTGATGATGAAAAGTCAAGGGAATGTCAACATTTCTCCACAAACTCAAATAAATCAAATCAGATGTCTCATATTCATCCATTAATATCATCAACAATTCTTAAAAATAGTTCAGGTACAGTAGCTGAGCTGATGTCCGAACATCTCAACATGGCTTTACAATGTTGTGACATCAAAAGTCCCTTTACGGAACACCTGTATCGCTTCCTTTTCTGTATGGCTGACCATCTGTAGGTTAACCTGAAGAGGACAACGCTCTTGTATTCAGGCATATTTTATACTCTTTTGCTAGGCAAGGCAGCTTTATTTATCAAGTGCATTTCATACACGCAGTAACTCAATGTGCTTCCCATACTTAAAAGTACAACCTTTAAAAGCATTAACAAAGAAAAGAACTAAAGCCATTTAAAAGAGAAGCAATAAAAAATAGCTGACCGAAATGATTAAAAGAACGTAGAGTGCAATTGATTTTAAAAATGCTTTAAATTACCTTCATCGTAGTAGGTATGAGGAAAAAAAAAAAGCAATGTTTTTAACCTGGATTTAAAAGCATTTACACTTGGGGCTGATTAATCTTCTTTGGCAGCTTATTTGAAGACTCGTGGGCAATGAGAAACGATGTGACTGACATATTTTCTCGTCTTATATTAACAACTACCAACCTGTTGAATGCCGGTGTGACCAGATGGCTACTATTTGGCAAGTATAGTTGATATGCACAAATCAGATGGGTGTGGCTGACTTGTATTTGCGTCGAAACCTCTTTGAGCAAGCCGGTGTGAGAATTGTCAAAGCCTGCAATGAAATTGCATAAAATAACTTTCACTCCATGGAAAAATAATATGAAATTCATTCAAATGTACCTGTGGATTCATGCACCGTCGCATAAAATATGTGTGTAATAGATGATATTGTACTGGCTATTTAAGATCAATATTTTTTCACAGAAATATGGGGTGCCAGTTTCTGTTATTCTCTCCAAATTCTGTGGATTTACATTCAAATGTAAAATCAGCACTCCAGTCGATTGCATCCTCTTCTAATAACATTTTCCTCAACATCTTCTCATCTAGGCAGTAGAAGGTGACTTTTTTTCTCCAGTCCGAGGCTTGTTTGTTCTGTGAAATTAACACAAAATGTTAAAATGGAAAAAAAGAAAACTCCCAAAATTCGACATTGATTTACAAACTCACTTCTGGGTCAGGGCGACAAATGATGACCTTAAAATCAGGCCACGTATCAACAACAATTTGTATGTTTGTTTGTTTGTTTCTGTTACATGCATGCAAGTATCCATAGACCTACAAAGACAGTAAAGGAGCAGACGTTTACAAAAACAACAACAATTCAATGAAAGATTAAAAGGTTTCATGAGAAGATTAAAATGTTTGCGGGTGTACCTGAAAACTCTTGGGCAAGTGTTTCAGCAGAACACTCTCAGCAGCCATGTGCTCATCTTTTTGGAGGACCTTCATTTTTGGTTGCTTGATTCCAATGTCGTGTGTTCGGCAAGCTTTGTGATGCACAGGACCAGCCTGGAAATACCGTTTGGGAAAATTAACATATTTTCCCTGAATTCCCAATGGCCACCTCACCCCTGCTTACAGCTCTTGGAGTATATGGTGGACTTGAGATGATCAACACAGCACACCACACACAAAACATTTATCTCCATCGATAAGTGGGACCTATAACATCCATCCCTTATCCTCAATGCTTATCCTTACACGGGTCACACACATCCTGCAGCTGGTTGATTTTGGCAGTAGACCCGGTACACCAATCACACGGCACACATAGACAAAGAAACATTTGCACTCACAATAGCACTCATAAAAGGGACAGTTTAGAGTGATTAATTAACCTGCCATACATGTTTTTGGAATGTGGGAGGAAACCGGAGGACTTGGAGGAAACCCAAACAGGCACAAGGAGAACATGCAAATTCCACACAGGAAGGCCGGGGCGGAATCAAACCTATAACCTCTGCACTGTGGGGGGGGGTCGGCTAAGCAGTTGACCACCGTGCGCCCCAATTGCGATCTATCAAAATACTGTGTCCTTTGTGGTGCTGTAAAACGGAGGGTTACCACAAGATGGCGTTCTAACAATGCAGAAATTGCTCTGAATGCTACACTGTACTGTGTATTAACCCTGACCAAATACAGGTACCTTTTGGTAGGTCAGTGTATCACACTAATGCATTTTCAAATACAGTATATGCATTCATTAATTACCCATCAATGAACTAAACAATTGAGTGTTCATAGTCACAATATTACTTTCACAAAAACAAACCAAAAAAACGAGTAACTTACCGTGATTAACTTCATAATGTATGACCATAGATGTACGATACAAATGAGGATGCTGTGTGCGCGTTCGTGTGTGTATTTTCTTTGAAGACTAACGCTGAAGTTTTATTTGGAGAAAGAAAGAGCAACGAGAATTTCTTTGCAGGGAAACCGAATCTGGTTTGCCCGAGTGGTTTTGCGTAACATATCATAACCGGTAATTCCAGAACCCTCTCAGCGCAATCAAAGTTATCTGAAATGCTCCATATGAAAATGGAGATAACCGATCTTTACGTTAATTATGTGCCGTCTGGGTCGTGTAGTTTTATCAGCCTCACACCCTCATACAACGTTGCAAAATCCTAATTAAGAAAATGACAGTTTTACTCAGATTTTAGCGGCCTCAACTTACCTCTCAAAAGAAGTCTGTCTACTTTGCCGACAAATGAGACATAGGAAATGATGTGCGGTAGGAGAGCAAAAGCAACACAATTAAAAAAAAAAAATTCAAAATAAAAGCTTACCACAGCGTGGCAAAATGATGGTGGTAAATGCAGCCCATAAGGTTTGCTTGTGCGAAAAAAAGATTTGGACCTGATTCAGCATTATCTACACGGAACATATACATTTCAATCTCTCATGAGAAAGAGAACTTTTTCACATGGTTATGAAAGGTTTTTTTGGTGTGAGTGAGAGGTATTTTTTTGGGGGGGGAGGTAAATTTGAGAGGGTTTTGATTGTGATGTGCAGTGATTTGTGAGTTTTTATTTCGCGAGTGTTTATATTTTTTGGTGTGAGTTTGCGGCATTCATTTTTACTTTGTAGTGCTACAGAAAAATAAATAACAGTAAATACATTTCAGACTCAACATGTTATTTTTGGAATAATTCATACACACGTGCACACATCGGGTGTGTCCCCCGTGACCCTTGTGAGGATAAGCAGATCAGAAAAAAAATATTCTATCACAATGATGACTTATTTGCTTGTCATAAATTTTGATTCTCCATTGGCAGTTCCACCCTGCCGTAGATTAAAATACTGACCAAAATGTGCAAACGGGCAAATATAGCCCGATATGAGTGACTCACATGGGGATACGTTTGTGAAATGTTCAGTACTTTAATTTCATATGAAAACACAACACTTTGCTTATAAAAGGCAAATTAGCAAGAGTGCACATCTATATGTAGTAAGCTTGTTTCATTAAAATAATTTTAATTAAAAAAAACAAAAAAGAGTGCACATATATGTGTAGTTTCACTAAAATGCTGAAAAAAAAAAAAAAAGGAAATGATACAACCCAACATAAAATTGTGATACTTCGACCATTTCTTCTGCTACAGTCGTTATTTGCATGCTCTGTAACTAGTTGACTTGGTACAATAGATCATTTTTCCTATGATTGAGAACACTAATAAGTGTTTAAAAGTAATAGAGTATACTGATGTTTTCCCACGTGGCTCATTTTCTAGCAGTCCCTTGGCTCTAGCAGCTGCATGTCGCTCAGCCATGGGCGGCTCCACACAGAAAATGTGCACTGGTAAGGCTGAGGAAAGAGGTCAGAATCCATATCAAAATCAGAATCAGATTTGTTGGGCAGGTATGTAAAACACACAAAGAATTTACCACCCTCCAGAGGAACACAAAGCAAACAATGACCAACAGAGGGAGACAGAACGGTTCATGTACTGATTATGAACTGCAACAGGGAGAAAAAGGAAACACAATGTACCATGTGACATGATACTCTTTCAAAATTGATGCAAGTTAAGCACACCTAACAGATTTTTTTTTTTTAATGGGGTGGGGGGCGCGCGCTATCCTCCATGTTTTCCAACTCTCCCGGTTGCAACACACCTGATTCAAATGAACAGGTTCAATATCAGGCTGATGATCTGATCATTAGAATCAGGGGTATTGCAACAGGTAGAGATGGACAACATGCAGGATAGCGGCCCTCCAGGACTGGGATTGTCCACCCCTGTTCCACATATATCAAATTAGACATAAAAGTAGCATTACTATAAAGGAGCATAAACACTTAAGCACAATAACTGAAAACTAAACAAATTTCATTAATTTTCCAATTTCAAATGAAGCTGTTGCATGGCACTAAATTCCATGGAATAGCACTGCTAATGTTCGTGATTTTAAAATGTGGGTTGAGTCAGATTTTCAGAAATGCAGACATGACCAATGACAATAACATAAAATGGTAGTTGTCAAGATCATATTTTGTCTCTTAGATAGGCTCACCCCCGGCAGAAACACTCTGATTATTACCTCCCGGACAATAACGTTAACAAACTAGACCTTTGAGCCATGTGCCTGTGCAACGGTCAGCCATGCGAAACTATGGCGTCTCCAGAGGTGCTTAACGTTTAAGTAATAATTTATGCAAGTTTTTATACGCCATGAAACTTTTTATAAAATTTCTGCGGTAATTACACCCTGAAAAACCTTGCATTACATCCACAATGGTTTTATAAAACAGTAGAATTTTTTTTAGCTGCTGGAACCTATTAATGACACTAACATCAATTTCAATCAGGAAAGTTGATTGAAAAACAAGTACATCGAGTTAAAAGTTTGGTCACGGATTGAAATCACTGTCTCAGAGGTGCTTAACGTTTTAAGTAATAATTTATGCGAGTTTTTATACGTCATGAAACTTTTTATAAAATTACTACGGTAATTACACCCTGAAAAACCTTGCATTACATCTACAATGGTTTTATAAAACAGTAGAAACTTTTTTTGCTGTTGGAAACTATTAATGACACTAACATCAATTTCAATAAGGAAAGTTGATTGAAAAACGAGTACATTGAGTTAAAAGTTTGGTCACGGATTGAAATCACTGTCTGAATCGAGTTGCCACTATAATCGGAGTCGGAGAGAAAAGATTGAAAAAGCTAAACTTTCCTTGTCATTTTGATTGTGGTCAATGACTACGTCCACGATTGTTGGCCCTGACAAGTTTTCCCAGCAGATGGGGAGAAAGGATTCCTCTTACAACAAGATTATTATTTGCATGACCTTTAAAAGACATCACAAAGGACCTTTGCTGAGTTTGACTGCAAACTGAGTAATCAGCACATGTGCAATCTACACAATAACAAGATGACTGCCTTTTACTGTCAGACAGCATTTAGCCAGTGGACGTTTGCTGTTTGATCACTTGTTTTACATTTAAATTTTGCATGGAACAATAGCCTGGAGAGACAATTTTTTAAAAAAAACGAAGTAAAAATGTTTTGCCTCTTATTTGTAGAACAGGTTGTAAAGTGCTGTCCCCTGAGATACACTTGAATGTAGTAGATCAGGGGTAGGGAACTTGAGAGCCATATTCTGCCTATTTTAGATGCCTCCTTACTCTAACGCACCTGGTTTAATTGTTCATGATCGTTTCCGGCCTCTGCAGAGCTTGATGATGAACTGATCGTTTGAATCAGGCGTGTTGAAGTAGAGAGAGAGATCTAAAAAAGGTAGGAGGTAGCCATCTCCGGAGTCCCCTACCCCTGTAGTCGATTGATGAGAAAACGCTAAGTTCATTTGCCTGTGACATTTGAATCCAAATCTCCAATCAAATGCACACTTGCCTGGCTGTCTGTTTGTCAGTCCCAGTGTTCTTTTACATTGCTACATAGCATCAAAGTCCACTTAAAACTCCTAGTTGCGTAAGCTAATCAAAATATTTACAGTTACAAGGGTACAGCCAGTTTGCAAAGAAAGGCCAAGTTGACTGCGAGGATAGTCGGCAGCATGGTATTGCTGATAGGTTACTATTTTTAACACTTAGGTCGGAGCACTCTATATACGGTTAATTGCAACCAGGAATCTTACAAGTAAAAAAAAACATTTGGCAATCAATACCGTATGATCCAACTCCACAGGCAAAACAAAAACAAGGCTGTGCAGAAATAAAAACTAATAATGACGATTCATACCGGAGAATCGGCAAGGCCGTCGCACTGTTCATTTGGAGCGTCCTTCATGCAGTTAGTCTTCGTCATGTTGACGGTGATGACGTACTTGATGCCAGAAACAATCTGAAAACAAACACAAAAGGATTTACTGGTATTGTTTCCCTAAACTGTCGTTTAGATTCCAATGACAAATGATCTAATATGCGCTGATTTGTCGCTATACTGTAATCTGTACGTCGTCACTTACCTGTTTTTTAACCCCAGAGATCTAAAAAAGGCAGGAGATAGCCATCTCCGGAGTCCCCTACCCCTGCAGTCGATTGATGAGAAAATGCTAAGTTCATTTGCCTCTGACATTTGAATCCGAATCTCCAATCAAATGCACACTTGCCTGTCTGTCTGTTTGTCAGTCCCAGTGTTCTTTTACATTTCTACATAGCATCAAAGTCCACTTAAAACTCCTAGTTGCGTAAGCTAATCAAAATATTTACAGTTACAAGGGTACAGCCAGTTTGCAAAGAAAGGCCAAGTTGACTGCGAGGATAGTCGGCAGCATGGTATTGCTGATAGGTTACTATTTTTAACACTTAGGTCGGAGCACTCTATATACGGTTAATTGCAACCAGGAATCTTACAAGTAAAAAAAAACATTTGGCAATCAATACCGTATGATCCAACTCCACAGGCAAAACAAAAACAAGGCTGTGCAGAAATAAAAACTAATAATGACGATTCATACCGGAGAATCGGCAAGGCCGTCGCACTGTTCATTTGGAGCGTCCTTCATGCAGTTAGTCTTCGTCATGTTGACGGTGATGACGTACTTGATGCCAGAAACAATCTGAAAACAAACACAAAAGGATTTACTGGTATTGTTTCCCTAAACTGTCGTTTAGATTCCAATGACAAATGATCTAATATGCGCTGATTTGTCGCTATACTGTAATCTGTACGTCGTCACTTACCTGTTTTTTAACCCCGACCACGCCAGTCTTTACTCTGAGGAAAGGGTCCTCCGTTTTCAAATTATGTTGGGAAATGGCGAAGTTGAGGGCATTCTGCACACCTTCCTCATTGACGTCCACATCCGTCAGCCCCCCGACAAGCCTGCCGAGACCAACGGCGCAAACGACCCCAAGAAAAATGAAGACTACCTTTAAAATCATATTTCTGTATTTCGTCGCACTCAAGACTACAAAATATAGGTTGGCCCGGTCTTCCTCTCGGTTTTATAAACAAATGCGTCACAGCTGAGTCGCGCGATATGATTGGCTCATTTTGGGGCCAATCAAAGTCGTTTAATGCACACTCTCGGAGCTCTTTGGGCTGTCGGCTGTTGACGTTTTTGTTCCGGGAGTAAACTTGTCGAGGTTTTTACGTCTGACGTTCGTATTCGGTTCATTTTAAACGTCTTGCATTCGGTGATACGATACTCAATATTAGTATTTTGTATTCATTTACATTTCACAAAATCTGTGGAAGTTCTGTGAAATTCCCCTTTTAAGTCAATGCGCATTA